GGGGGGGGGGGGGGGGGGGGGGGGGGGGGGGGGGGGGCACCGGAAAAGAAGGGAGAGGGAGGAGGTTTTGTTTTTTGGAGGGTGGCAGTGAGGGAACTGGGCTGCCTTATAAACCATAGTAAAGCTTGAATTGTATTCTACTCTGCTCAGCACCCCCAAGCCAGGCGTGCTTCCACCTCAAAGCCTTTGCACTTGCTATCCCCTCCAACTGGAATATTCTGCAGAACTCTGCAGAGCTCACTCCCTCACCTCTTTCATGTCCTTTGCTCAAAGGTCACCTACTCAGTCACCTTCTCAGTGAAGTCTTCCCTGGACTCTGTTTAAAATTGTAACCACTCCTCCTCCCCACCTCCACAATTCCCTGTTCCTCACCCCTTCTTTATTTTTCTTCATAGTACTTACCACTATCTACATACTGTCTACCTGACATTCATGAGAGGACACATTATTGAGGGCATGGCACATGGAGGACACTCAGTAAAAATGTGTTTAGTGAATGAATGGAAGCCATTAAAGAGAGTTAAGTAGAGATTGACATAATATAATTTCTGTTTTTAAAAGGGAGCTGTTGCTGCTGTGGAAAGAATGGATTAGGGAAAGACCAGCATAGAAGCAGGAGACCAGTTGGGAGGCTGATGCAGTGGTCCAGGTGAGAAATGATGCTGGCCTGAGCTAAGAGTCATGGTAGTGGGTATGAAGAGGCTGCTTGGGACTCAAGATATATTTTGGAAGTAGTAGCAACAAGACTCCATCATGTTATTGGGGGTAAGGAAAAAGAGACAATGAATGATGCTTCCTCTGGCTTGAGTTACTACGTGAAATGGGGTACAGTTTATTGAGGTGGGGGACGATAGGGGCAGAGAATCATTAGTTTCATTTTGGACCCATTATGTTTGTACTGTTTTTGTGACATCTAAGTGCAAACAGTACTTAAGTTGGATGTGCAAGTCTGGACCTCAGAGGAGTGGTCTGGGTGGGAAATACAAATATGTATTGAAAATCATGTAAAAAGCAGATATTTTAAGGAAAGACAATGCCCTGGTGGTGGTGGAGGTAGGAATGGTCTACAGGGAAGAAACTGAGAAAATGATGTCCAGGGAGGGTAAGTACAGGAAAGCGTTGGTAGGAAAAAATGGGGAGAGGGAGGGAGTAGAAGAAAGAGGGAGATGAGGCTCTGAATGTGGTGCTGGGAAGGAGGGACAGAAAGCAGGGGGCAAATGAGATTATCAGTCTTATCCTGTGTGTGGGGACATGGGCAATGCCTGCCAGGATGAAAGGAATGAGGGAAGAATAGAGGAGAGGGGTAACTGGAATATGAGAGAAAGTACAAGACAGGAGTCAAAGGGGAGAAGACGAGAGCACAGGATTAGCTGGGATCATAACCAGAGATCCACCCAGCAGCTGTGGCTTAGGAGGTGGCCACAGGTCAGGGCAGTTCAGAGGTCATGGGGTGGCCCTAGTTTAAGATTAGAAGGTGGAGGAATGAGAAGAGAGGTGAGGGTGGAAGGTGATCCTAAGAACTTGGCCATGAGGAAAATAAGATGATGCTGTTAGACTTAAACTTTAACATCAATTCTAAATGGGCAAAGGTCCGCCGAAGGCAGGGATTTTAAGCTAGGAGTCATAAAACAGCTTCAAGGACATCCACAAACCCCATGAAATTGTTCAGATGGTTTTATAAGGTTGGCGCTTTTCTGCAGAAATAGTTGTGGATAGCTTCTGTCAGATTCTCTGATATTATCCTGATGTTAAAAAAAAAAAAGAATAAGGATCTGGTAAGTAGAGCAAGAGAGAGGGTAAAGCCATATCTAAAAAGGAATATGTCAGTCAAAAGGAGATGAATAATAAAGCACCCAAAGGAGACAAAAAAAAAGAAGCGGGCCATGCCCACCTAAGGGAGGAGGTCCCCAATGTGATCTAATCTAGAAGCTGCCATCTTGGATAAGTGGAAACGGTCAGATCAGAACCCGACGCAATGATTCATTGACATTATATAACTCATGCCCCTCGTTCTGACTCCATACCCACCGAGCAACATTCTGATGAGGCACTGTGGAAGGCACTGGTCCACCTGACAGGTAGATTTTTGTCATTGTAAATTACATAAGTGGCTGTCTTGTTTTCTGCATCTGGTGCACATCTCGTGAATGTTTTTTGTTTGACTCAGCTTTCAGTTCTGGGACTCCAACGTGGTGAAGTTTCTGAGTCTGGTGAAAAGCTGAGTGAGGGCTTGATACAGGGCCGTGGGGAATTTCATCAAAACATCATCCATGAGGCTCTTTAAAAAGTCAGCCCAGTTGTCTTCCCTTGAGAGCGCCTCCAACTTCAGGGGGCACATAGTTGAGAAATGTCCTGCCTTTCCTACAGGAAGGATCTACAGAAGGAACTTTTTCAGTGCTCACAAATATGAACTGTCCCCTTTATAGGCAATACAGTGAAGGAGTGTCTTTACTCCTTCAGTTTAACTGAATAAACAAGTGGAACTCAACCCCTCCCACTCTCCACCCAACTCCCTATTCCCTTAAACTGAGGAAGCACTTGGCTATGCCCCAGGACTGTGTGTGTCTGCAGGGAAGAATAAATGATCTGCTCCCAGACAAGTCAATGGAAAGAGCTGGGGAATAAACAATACTAATGGCCAATACTTAATGAGCACTTGATGCCCAGCACTGTGCAAAGTACTTTATCTTAATCCTCTGCCAACCTCAAAAACTAGATACTCTTGTTATATTATAGTCTCGTTTTATAGCCTTTAGTCACACAGCAGCAGAGGCAAGGTTTTAACCCAAGCAATCTGACTTGAAGCCCATGGATTAACCAGCTCACTCTAGTGCTGCAGGAGGCACACCTAGAAAACCAGGGAGCAGAAGCATGGCTGCTGTAGATTGAATTGTGTCCCCTCAGAAAGGATATGTTGCAGTCCTAACCCTGAGTACTCAAAATGGGACCCTATTTGGAAATAGGAACGTTGCAGATGCAATTAGTTCAGTTGAGGTCGTAGTAGGGTAGATTGGGCCCCTGATGTAATATGACTGGTATCCTTATGAGAAGGCAGCTGTGTGAAGACAGAGACACACAGGGAGACCACCATGTGACAACAAAGGATTGGATTTATGCATCCACAAGCCAAGGAACACCAAAGATTGCCAGCAAACCACCAGAAGTGAGGCAGAGGCAAGGAAGGCGTCCCCTACTGGTTTCAGAGGGAGCTCAGCCCTGCTGATACCTTGATTTTGGGCTTCTTCCCTCCAGAACTATGAGACAATCGATCTATTGTTTTATGCCACCCAGTTTGTGGTACTTTGTTGCAGCAGTCCTAGGAAACCGATACAGTGCCCTTCTTTCTTGAACCCGTGGATGCCGGGTAGAAAAAAGGAATGTGAAGTCATTCAGCAGATAATAAAAGGTGGCTGTCCCCTTCCTCCCCTCCAGACCCAAGATGCTATGGCTTCACAGGGCATAGGCCCCACCCAAGTGGCTATGATGAAGGGGCCTCAAATAGGCACCACCCAGGCTCCAGCACCATCATCACCTCATACTTTTGGGGACTTTTCCAGCCGTATAGTTAAGATCTTAATTCTGGTTCTGTTAAGTGGGTGGCTGGCAGTATGGCTGGCTATTTCCCAGAGCCCCCTTCACTCTTCCCAGCTTCTTCCACTGGCACTTCAGTTTGGAAGTTAAGCCTAAGAAACTCTACAAACTACTTCAGGCAGGGTGAAGTTCTAACGCAAACCAATTTAGGTCCTTCAACTACAGCCAAGCTCGTGCATGTAGAGAAGCAGTTAAATCATCAGAGACTCTTACCTACCTCATTTTATTCCATGGAAGGTATCTCTTTCTGGCCCAACTGTGGGAGTCCCCGCAGGAGGCCCCCGACCATGCTGGGTGCCTGTATATGGATGCTTGAATTGCTTGGGCTCTATAAGAAAACTGTTGTGAGCCCTCTCTGGGTGGGGTTTATGACCTTTTGTGCAGTGTTTCTGTTAGTTTGCATACCTTTCTCTGCACCGTTGCAGCTGAGATGGTCCAAAACCACAAGATCCAGGAGTGTCAAATAACTGCAGGGAGATGGGAACTCCCCTGGGGATGAGACCTTTAGCCAAGATGATCCACTCCCAGAAGTGATGAGGCAGAGCATGTAGCAATACGGGAGCTCACACACTTCACCCAAATCTTCCATTGTTCCCAGCCTCCACGCACCCCCTGCCATTCCATTGGAACCATTTCACTCACACTATTTATTCTAAAACCTGGGAAGTTTCTTAGTAACCTCTGTCTCCTGTTTGATCAGGCGCTGCACTTTCCCACAGACTAATGTGTTCTACCCAGGTCTGCCACTAGCCCACACAGTGGCATTGTGCAAATTAGGCAACAGGTGTCCCTGCCCCCAGGCAGATACTGCCCTGTGCCAGGCTCCATGGTGAGCAGAGTAAAATAGCACATCCTGGATTTCAGCTGCCGCTGCCCTTGGGCTGGATGCCCTTGTGCAGGACATGACCTGCATGACCCTCCATGACATTCCTGCAGTTGGGAGCAAGTCCTGACAGAGCTAGTGCTGTCTACCGTGACACAATCAGCCAACCAGACTTCTTGGGGTTTGGTGCACCACACTGCAATGGCTTCATTCATTTAATTGCTGCCAAAGCCTGAAGTATTGCCATGCTCAGCATAAGTACTTAAAGAACAGTTATTATCTAAGTAACGTTACCTACCTTCTCAGTTTCCTCATTTGTCAAATGAAGATAATAATCAGACCCTTCTTCATGGGGTTGTTGTGAAGATTACATGAGATAATCCATACAAAATACTCTGCACAGTGCTGAGCCCAAGAAATAAAAGCTATTATTCCAAGTGCTTTCATCAATCAATCAAGAGCAAGTCAAGATTTATTCAACAAATAGGCAGTAAGCAACTATTTTCTGCCAGGCTTCGTATAAGGTGCTGTGGTTACCAAGGTGAATACCCCTATCTGGTAGGGAAGGTGGATGTGAACATACGCAAAGACCGTGTGCGGCGGGGTCAGCGCTGTGACAGAGGTAAGTACTAGGTGGGATGAGAAGTGATAAATGTCCATGAGTTTCATTCTGCTTGTTTTAGGGTCAGGGAAGCTTGAATGTATCACTGGTACTCTTTCTGCATTTGAGATTCACCAAAATAAAATATATTTCTTCGGTTATCTATTGTTGCATACCAAACCACCCCCAAACATCCACTGATTATTAGCTCATTGGGATGGTTTGTTTCTGCTCCACATGTTGTTGGCTGGGGGACTTGACTGAGGTTGGAGGATCCAAGATGGGGTCACTCACATGTCTAGTACCTCAACTGCAATGGCTGGAACAGCTGGATGGCCAAGCATTTATTTCTTTCTCCTTGTGGTCTCTCCAGCAAGGAATCTGGACCTCTCTACATAGTGGCTTAGGACTCCAAGAAGATGAAGGCTAAAGCTGCCAGGTGTCTTAGATCCAGGCCCAGACCTAGACACCATCACTCATGCTGTACTCTATTGGTCAAAAAAAGTCCCCGGGTCAACCCAGATGCAAGGGGAACATCCATAGACCCCACCTCCAAGTTGGAGAAGAGGTAGAGAATTGAGGACATTTTAAACCTACCACTTCTATTATCATATTCCACTTTACAGCCAATTTA